GCAAGTAATCATTAGCTACATTTTTAATTGTTAGAATTTAAAATGAAATTCATAGGCTACACAAAACCTTGATCATGGTTGAATTATTAATCATTATCATAATTATGATTTGTATTTGGTTATCATACATCAATATTTATTATAATTCAATAAAGCATTATGCCAAATATTTTATACGCAAATTCATTTAATACATATGAAATTCATGAGCAGTAGGTCCAACTTGTAGATGAAGAAATCAAGGCTTTAAAGGATAAGTATCTTCCCAAGATGACATGGCTAGTAAGTAGAAGTGCTATGATCTAGACCCAAGTCTCTTTGAGTTCCAAATATATGTTTCTAATCCCTCCATGTTTCTCTTGTATATGTATTTGGTCAATCACTGTAAGTTTGTCTTACTAACATGATTGTTTTCCATTTAAATTATTACATATGTGCATATACATAGCAATTATGGATTTCTTTCTTCTCTGATGCAGGATGCTATAATTAAAAATATATTAAATGAAGAGACAGAATGCCTAGGCTCTAAGGTGTTGATAGGCCTACTAGCTTTATAAACTTTGCCAAGACACCTCAACTGCCTGGGACTACTTTCTTATTTACTGATCCTGATTCTGAGAGTCATGTTTTATAGGAATGTGATTAATGGGGGGAGGGGGTAGAGTGTAATCAATATTATGTTATTATTCAGAAACTTGAGGTGGCAAAAGTGTTTTAACAAGTCTTCTAGATAATTCTGATGCATGCCAATATTTGAGAAAACCTGGTTTAGACTATAACTACTTCTACTAAGATCACAAAATCTAACAGTTAAAGCAAAGATCCATATTTGCATTAAAGCTCTTCTTTTCCTTCTGAAAATCACCTCCTTAGGACAATGTAAGCATGACCATTGTTGGACAGACATGCTCTAAGCCCTGGCCCTCGAGAAAATACTTGCATGAAAACTAAAGCCTGTGAGGTAGAAAGAACAGACTTAGAGTTGGAAGGGATGCTCAATAAGTTGGAAAACATACAACTGAGAATGAATAAAGTATGGCCAATTGAGGTACATCAGGAATTCTATCTCCCTGTGGCTATAGAAAGCTGGAAATAGTATTGCCTTTACTCTAATAGAAAAAAACTATATAAACTAAAAAAATCACAACTTTGCTGAACACATCCAAGAACTGTAGTCACCGGTCAACCAAGTAGTATCAAATCCACTGACTCTCAGGCCCATCCAAGGAGAGATGAGACATAAACATCTGCTCACAGTGACAGACTACAGAAGAAAGGAATGCTGGGTGCCATATAACTAGGTAAGAAGCATTCAGCTACAATTTTTAATGGATTGGTAAAGATCAGGTGTGAAGAGGGTAAGAGTATAAAACTCCTGGGAGCTGTAGACACGGGGAGTTTGCAACCACTGAGAGACTCTTCTCCATGACCTCAATCTCCTGTTCATGAGAAAGATTGTAGGCAGAGCAGGAGATGGCCAAGTGCACTCCTTGGTGTTACAGGCTTGGAAAAGGGAATAGGTCACTGCTGTGAGCATGAAGCCCTGTTGCAACTCTTTCTGAGAAACAAAGCCCTAAGCCTCCGGGGGTGGAGCAGAAAACCCTATCACCACCAGGGCAAAGGTATAGACCTAGCGTAGCCAAAGGAAAGGTGTTCAAAAAACAAAACACTTCTGCCCCTGGGGAAGTTCTGGGCACAGGTTCCTACCCCAATAACATCAGAGGTCTACTACAACTGTGAGAGGGCAAAGAAACTCTCCCATGGAAGACCAACTAGAGCCATAAGGTGGAGTTTGGTTGTCACGGAGACAAAAAATAGGACCACTGAGAAGGGCAAGCCCTCAGACCTAAAAACACAGAGCCTGTCTAAAGAAGAGGCTGAGCTAAGACAATAAAGAATCCCCAGCCCTCACTACCAGACTAGCAAGCACCAAGTAATGAGCAAATTCAGTCTACCGCTGAAAAAGGAAAAAAGTGTGGAGAGGGACATAGTTCATGGTGAATATAAATGGGGAAGCTAAAGATGAAAGACAAACATTGATAAAATACCTCTTAAATCTCAACTTCCCATCTAAGAAAAATGAATTTGAAGCCAATGTTACATTGAAGATAATCATAGGAACAAGAAAAACCAAACCCAGCTTAATTGACTAGATTCACTCAACAACACCCCCTCCCATATATGCACATACATTAATAGCCTAACAGAAGAGATGTGTCTACTTCCAGACATAAAGTCTCTACTATTATATACATACTGTCTTGGTGTTTAATAAAAAATTACATGACACACAGAAAGGCAAGAAGAAAATATCAATGTTAAGACATAAAATAACAGAACAGACTCAAACATGACCCTTTTGTTTAAAGTATCCAACAGAATTTAAAGTAACTATGATTAATTTGTTAAAGATTCTAATGAAAATGCAGACAACATGCAAAAATAGATGGGAAATTTCAGCAAGGAGATTTTATTTTGGAATGAATTGTCCTCCCCTCAATTCACATGTCAAAACTCTAAACCCCAATGTGACTGCACTTGGAGGGAGGTCCATTAGGAAGGTAATTAAGGTTAAATGAAGTCATAAGAGTGAGACTGTAATCCCATTAGTGACCTTATAAGAAGATGAAGAGGCACAGAGCTCTCTCTCTCTCCATGTGTAAAGGCCATGTGAGGATAGAGCAATGAAGTACCATCTACAGGCCAGTAAAAGAGGCCTTCCTAGATGCCAACACTGACAGTACCTGATCTTGAACTTCTAGTTTCCAGAACTATGAGAAAATAAATTTTTGCTGTTTTAGACATTCTATGTTATTTAGTCATGGAAGCCTGAGCAGACTAATACATGTAAGAAGTATAATAATGGGTCATATGGAAATGCTAGAGATAGAAAACATAATAAGAAAGATAAAGAATGCCCTTTACAAGTTTATCAGTAGACTTTGGATAACTGAAGAAATAATCCCAGAACTTAAAGATAGGTTCACAGAAATTACTGAAACTTACACTAAGAAAGAATGACAAAAAAATAACAGAGCATCCGAGTTATGGGGTAAAATGAAACAACCTCGTTTATATGTAATTAAAGTTCAAAAAGGTGAAGAGAGACAATAGCGCAGAAGAATTTTGTGAACAAATAATGGTTGAAAAATTTTAAAAATTCACGACAGACACCACAATACAGATGCAAGAAATTCATAGAATTCTGAGGATAAATTACTACACACACACACACACACACACACACACACACACACACAACCCTAGATACATTGAATTCCAACTGCTGATAAAAAGAAAATCTTGAATGCAACCATAGGAAAAGGAATCATTACTTTCATGGGAATAACATTAATATTTACAACAGACTTCTTAGAAACCATGAAATTCAGAAAATAAGGAGTCAATGGTTTAAAGTGCAGACAGTAAAATAAAATCGTCATCCTAGAATTCATCCTAAGGAATTTCATATCCTTAGACTTCTCACAAATTCAAATATGAATGTAATGTTTGTCCTCTCTCCTGTAGTCTTTGAGCCTCACATTCTGTCCTGGTCATCTGATAGTATATATTAAATTTCATTACAGGCTACAGGATATATATGAAGAGTATAATTTAAAAAAATAAAATCGAAAATGAATGAAAATGTCTTTAAATAGTGACACTACACAGACATACTGTACACAAAACATAAAAGGAAATTATTCAGGGAGGACTTTGATACCAGACAAAATCTGAATTTCACACTGAAAACAGTCTTCGGGAAAATCCATGTTCTCAACTCCTTTAGCTAACTGCACTGTTGAAAGGAATGCAGCCTCTATATCTCAGCTCATAACTTCAGAGAGTGATCCTTTTAATCAGGACCTTGGACAGGACTGGAAAGCAATCAAGTTCCTACAGTGCTGTCATCTTAGCATCTAGCATCCTTCCAAAGACCAGCTGAAATGAATTAATGTCTTTGTTTGGAAAGTCACTAATATTTTTCAAATATGTTGACTGCAAGGAGTTCCATACCAGGAATATGAATGCATTGGTGACTGCATTAGAGAATTTTGTTATAATATTGCAGAGAACTACAGCCTCTTTATTGCCCCCCAAAAATAACCACTAAAGGAAAGAGTTCAAACAATTTTAAAATTAACATTATGGCTGGACTGGTCTAGTAAGCTACCATGGACTGACAGCCTTATTCTCTACACAATTTCTTGTCTTTTCTCATGGCAACTGCTAGATTACTTTGAGCCTTGCTAGCTGGCATTCCTTCATGCTTTTGACAACAGCATATTGTAGGAAATTTTTAAAATTTCTATATTCCTACGATTTTATTTTTTAAATTATACTCTTCATATATATCCTGTAGCCTGTAATGAAATTTAATATATACTATCAGATGACCAGGACAGAATGTGAGGCTCAAAGACTACAGGAGAGAGGACAAACATTACATTCATATTTGAAGGTGTGAGAAGTCTAAGGATATCAGTATATGTCTAAAGAGGCAACTATAATGCAAAAAAGAGTATTTCATAAACCACAACAGAAAATTACCTCTATTATTAAAAATACATATGCTCTGTATATAGGGCATATAGAATGGACACAGCCAGTAGAATTTACTATGCTGTGTTTAACTGAATACTTACTGCTGTGTTGCTGATCTTTTAATTTCTTTTTTATTTTCTCCATTTGAAAACATCACTTTCAATAATACATTAGGAAGTAGAGCTGACTGCTTTGCAGTAACTTTGGTAATACCTTCTAAAGCATCCAGGATAAGATCACTATATGAGAAGTTCATGAGTACCAGTACTATCACCTTGATTTAGAAAATCAGGGATTTGTTTCGTGTTAGTAGGAAAGCAAAAGAAAGAAAATCTGTTCCATCTGTCTTACTAACTCAATTCCATCAAATAAACGCGTATTTTACTTCCATGTGTGAGCCACGGAAGACACGGGCAATCGGCTTAATGAAAGAAGGTGACGTGCTCACTTACTAATTTGACTCGATGGCCTGGAGTGGCACTGATTTCCCACGTGCATTCCTTCCTGCTTGGGTACTTGTCTGGCCAGTTGGGACTGGTGATGAGGCCACTTGGACTGTGGATCTTCTGTTCACATTCAGCTGTGCCAGTGACAATAAGATCAATCAGTGCAGAAATCTAGCCCAGTATTGGACCAACAATAAAGCAGTTTATTTACCCACTATCCTACTGAAAGACTTTTCTGAATACTAACTAATCATCACTCCGGTGTCTGTCATCATAGTCATGTGCTTTGGCACACATGTTGCTGAGCATAATCAGGCAATGTTTGTTTCCTTGCTTTCATGAAATTACGTGTTTACAATGAATTTTATAAATGCCTGAAAGAAAATAAGCTATATAAAATGGTCGGATCTGTAAGTTCAGACTTTAAACGAGCAGCATATATTGACAATTAAGGATATCAACTCTTGGTATGTGCAAAATATTTAATGCAATGCCACAAACAAAAATCAATGGATTTTGACATTTCAATTAATTTTTTTCTATAAACAGAAAGATTATTTATAGCTAATTAAGATCATTGAGCCATTTTACAAATTATGTACTTATATTTCTCTCTCCTTTAGTTGAAATATACACTTGAATACTGGATATATTTCTATCTATAAGGAAGTTTCCTATAAAATCCTTTCTTAAAAATATTTACTGTAATGAACGAACATTTATTTGCTACCTATGAGCCCTGGGCTACATGCATACTCTGCAAAAGCTGTCTCTCTCTTTTTTTTTTGCTCTGAATTGTCTTCCATATCTGCAAAATGACTGGGCCTGTTCCCTAGCCTGTCAATTTCATAGATACTTTACCAAGTTACAAATATCAGAATCTCTAGGGTTCTGCATTCACACATGAAAGGGAAAAGAGGTGAAAATGTTGCTTGCCTATGATTCTGGGTCATGTCAATAGCTCAATGAAAACATGGGGAGAAAAATAAACTCTTGACTCATGACCATATTAGAATAGAACTGAATGGAACAAGGGTCATTTCACGATACTATTTGAATGTAAATGGCACAGTATCTCCATTTTCAAATGCTTTTTGTCTGGTAGGCATCTGAGTTTGACTCTCCTGGTATTTAAAGTGGCATCACTCATATAGCACGTATATGAGATATTTTGGGGAGGGAAACTAAACCAAATGCAAAGCCTTTAGCAGAAATTCAGCTTAAATATGTAGACTGTCAAAAGGTCTGTCCAATGAAAACCTGGGGATAAAGTGGTCCTTTTCTGGCTGCCAGATGGCATCATAGCAGCAACGATGTCTGTCATACAAAGTTATTCTAATTCTACCCATGTGTGAAGTGCAGTCTCTTTAGGTAATATGAGGTTTCCAATAGTTCGCCTTGGATCTTGGGACCACTGCGTGTGTGTGTGTGTGTGTGTGTGTGTGTGTGTGTGTGACATCTGAACTCTCGAAAGTGATATCACTCACTGATTCAAAGAACTCTACCTGGAAGCAGTGTTTTACCCAAACGGCCTAAAATTCTAGCTGCTGTCAAGAAAAGAACACTCCTGAAATCCAGAAGCATGGAGTAGAGTGTGGAATCTCGGAGGGAAGACAGGGGAGGGTGGGTGGGTGGGAGTTAATCAACCAAAGACCATGTATACAAGTATACATATATGCATAACCCATGGACATAGATAATAGGGTGGTGAAGGCTTGGGGCAGGGGGCTGGGGCGGGTTGAGGGAGGTCAGTGGGGGAAGAAAAGGAGATATATAATACTTCCAACAATTAAGATTTTTTTTAAAAAAGGACACTCCCTTCATACCTTCCTTGCAGTCATGTTTATTTTCATGCAGCACAAATCCATTCCTGCACTGACACACGTAGCTTCCCATCGTGTTGACACATTCATGTTGACACCCACCGTTATCCTTTGAGCATTCGTCTTTGTCTAGCAAAGAGATAGCCCCATAGTTTAGTAAGTAGCTTTTAAAACAAAGAATATCAAAGAAGAATCATTCAGTTGCGGTTAACACAGGCAAAGGGTAAACTAAGCCACAGCTTACCCTGTTCCCAACAGAAAAAAAAGACAAAAAACAAAAACAAAACAAATCTTAGTTCTATCCAGTCCTTGTTTAGCTTGGCGCCTGTACCATGAATCGAGTGTCCAAGACCATTTGTGTCAGGATGAGAACTTGTAGTCCTCTTTCATTCCTGCAGTAAAAGTTTTGAGTAGGACATAGAGAAAGAACAGATCTTTCTACAACTAATTCTGAACATTTACAGTCAATATTTAAAAATAAATGTAAAACTGTGAGTAGTTTGAATAAATGCAAGATATGGCATTAAAGTAGAAATTCTTCAATATATTAACCATGGTGTTTAGATAGAGGCTAAACAAGGCTCCAAGATTTGTGTATAATCACTTGAAAAATTAGTTAGTGTAACTACTCTAGTTGATTTTTTTTTCATTAACATTGCAGTTAGGCTAAGGATTGATGAATCTGGACATTTCATAATATTCTAAGACAGAAAAAGGCATCAACAGACTATCCTAAAGAAGAAAGCTAATTTATATCTATTTTAAAAATCTACTCCAGCAGCCTAGTTTATTAATAAGTAATTCCTTAAAGGGGCTTTTATTGTGCTAGAAGCAAAGGTTAGAATGGGAAATATGAGCTTTGAGAAACAGCCATAAATGCACTACGGGAACAAAAGCCAAACTAGAGTGGCAGGCAGTCAATCCAGGCAGAGGCACCATCAGCACCACATCATGTCCCTCGGCTCTTAGTCCACGGCTGGCTTGTCTGTCAAAGTCGACAGATTGCTCATGACACACATATATGATGACATGTCACTCACACTGTCATCACTCCCACACCACAGAGAACAAAAGGGACCCATGAAGTCGTATCAGGAGTTAGGCTGAATTTGTAATTACACTGTCAACTGGTTTTCCTAAAGGGAATTTGTGAGCTCATGGTAGGTCACGAATACCAAATACTATATTTACATTTTTATCAAATCACTATTCCCTCTATGAAGATGGGTTTAAGAAAGATGTTTTTGTCCAAGTATCTGAGAGTGATTTTTAAAGATACATCTATTTTTCCCCTTTTGGAGACTGATCGCATGGCAGCGTGCACACGGCTCCTGGCATATATTCATTGGTAATATCAGAATATTCCAGAAGGAAGCAGGCAGTCCCAAAGTTTTAAAGAACATTATCAGAATCAATATCGCTATGATTATGTATATTCTACCTATCTTTAACAGTTTCTTACACTTTTAATATTTACTATGGAAAATAAAGAAACACATTCAAATTGTAGAATAAGGAAAATTGCCTAGCATCAAACGCTAATATGTATAGAAATTAGAATTTAATAGAAAATGAGCCTGGTAAAATTAATTTGAGAAATTTATAATAATTTGGAATCCCTACTACCTTATTTGCATCAATAGTGAAAATTATAGTTTGAGTTATTAATGATTAATGCAAAACAGGTGGATGGTAAATCATACTTCCTGCCACCATGGTGGCAGCTACCTACATTTTCTAATTTAGACAGTCAAGCAGTAAATGTTCTAAATTTATTGTTTTTATGTACCTTTCCAGAGGCTCTTAAGATCCTTCACTCTCTCATGAGTGGATATAGAATACACTTCATGTTTGTTAAGTGGAAAGAGCCAATATAAAATTTTCTGGTGCCAGAATTTCTTACTCTGCAATAGACACATATTTCCAATGAAAATGTTTATATAATGATAGCTTGTTATACTTAAAGTAAATCTGACAGAGCGAACTGTAGTTGTACTATAAGTCAACCAGACTTGAGAGATGGTTGAAAATCTAACAACTGTAAGCATTGCCTGAATCCTCCTTTTATCTGGATCTGTCTGGATTGCCATACAGAAGATATAAAACTGTTATAACTAAAAAAATGAATAAACACAAGTTATTATTGCTTAGTTTTTAAATCCATAGTCATTTCATCTTGAAGATAATTCTAACACAAAATAAATATTTCTAACATTGAAGCTTCATTCTGGAGGAAATCTCGTCACTAGGTTATATTTCTAAGGAGGATTTTTTCTTCAGAGTTGATAGAATATAATCTGACCTGTAGTAATGATAACTAAAGCAAAATAATGTTGAAAGTAAAACCAATCAAACTAGAATAGTGGTATTTCATAGCCATATGTATGTTGTGATTGAAAAATAATAATTTAAAAATATGTATGTTGTGATTGAAAAATAATAATTTAAAAATAATTTTTAGAGGAATGAGGAAAAGGAGGAAGAGCAGAAGGAGGAGAAAGAAAAAGATTTTATATATTCATTATTGTCTAAGTATCTATTACATTTTAGTTTCCCCATTAGTTGGTGTTTCCTACCTTTGTCCCAACATCTAATGTCAATCAATATAATCAATGTTACATAAAATTCAGGATATGTGCTAGAATATATGTATGGATTAATCTAACATTTAGCTTAAATTCAAAAGTGGACTGATCAAAACAGTAACTACCAGCAGCAGAGGAGTCATCATGCCCAGCAAAGTAGCGTATGAAACTGTGCCCCCATGAGTCAAACATTCATATGAAAAGAGAAAATTTCAGTAAACATTGAAACACTTAAAATTATCCCCATGTCCTACATCATTCAGATAAAGGTATTTAACTTAATATTTCAAGTTGTTTATGAAGTAGTAAACATGGTGAGGTTATTAAAACACACACACATTTGTTTGAATAGAAGTAAATACACTATTCTAAAGAAAGTGGATGTAATTTCAGAATATCTATGTTGATGAGAAATAGCAACAATATAAAATACCTAATTCCACAAGTATATTCTGGATTTCTTATGCATGAAAGGTCATCAAACCAGGCGGGGGGGGGAAGCTATTAGCAAGCACAATTATGCTTTCACTGTCTTCCAATTTCTTCTCTTAGGACACAAATTACAAATATTTTGAACAATGAAAATCCAAAGGAGAGAACCAAGAAGGGGGCAGCATTTTAAATATTTCTCAGAATGTCTGTATAATAAACGTAGTCATTGAGAATTTGATCAATAATTAATTTGAAATTTTCTAGCATTTTCATACTGTAGGCACAAAATTTTTTAAATAGTTTTTTTATTAGTGAGAGAAATAAATGTTTTATTGAGTAGAAATAAAAACATTTATTTTTTGCAGATGGAATGAACCTCCTTCATTGGAATGGTCATATCCACTTTCCATTCTTTCATGTTAGATGAAGGACAGGTCCATTATACGAGGCAGAGCAGGTGGCGTTTCCCCACAGAGGCCTGCAGAGCATCTCTGAGACTATCAGAGGCCATCAATCTAAGAATAATACCTACTGGATGGAACTGAAGTGGCAACCTGTATCAAGTTCTTGCAAGATTCAAAAATAAAAATTTTCTCTTTGCAGAAAGCTTCTTTGTCTGTAGGGTAAAAAAGGGTCCATGCACCACAACAGAAACATACTGCATAAGAGCAGTAAACTCCCAATAAATGCTCAAATATAAACAGACCCATGCACACTCCCATGCATGTGTACACACAGACATCGCATACATAGATTTTAGCAAAAAACTACTGAATAAATAATCACCTTCAGAAAAGCACTACTAAACTAATGAGCCACGACAGAGACAATTTATGCTTTCTAAGATATGCAAATATTTAAATATAATTAATAATAAAAACTTAGAACAGAATTCAAAATCATAGGAAAGTTTTATGTTCACATTTGAAATTAAGCACACCAATACTTAAAGTTTTGTTAGAATAAAATTGGGTTGAATTTCTTCTAAAATATCGATGACCATTCCATGACAGAAATAGTGTATAGGAGGAACAATGTAAAGAAAAGTCTGTCTATGGTGAAAGATGAATAGGGTTAGGAGCATATCAGTTTAAACCACTTCAGTTTAGCGATAGAATAACTGCACAAATCATTTCATCTGACTCCTTTATTTACTACAGACACAAACTTGGGAGTCAGGAAATCTGGGCTGTATTCTATTTGTTTCACAAAGCAAGTTACTAGGTCCATTAGTAACAGATTACATTCCCATTAAAGTTACCTGTGAGGAAGACTGCTTTTAAATGAGGTTTATTCTTCAAATACTAAATACTTTAAAATATTAAATCAGACTTCATATATGATGGTTTCTTAATTTTATGAACATAGACATGACAGGAAATTGATATTCATGACTGCTAATAAGTTCTTAGAGTCATTCTTCCATTTCCCAGGCCTATACAGTGCTTTTAAAATGAAAGGTTATGTGCAAAAATAACTAATATCTCTGTATGATTATAAATATTTTCATTGTATACTGTACATTAAAAACCTAAAAAACATTTCCTTGTCTTTTTCCTTGATGCATCACAGCAGAAAGAAAGCTATTATTGACTCTAAATAGCTTTCCTCTTCAGATAATATGGAATCACCTATTGTCAAATATTGTTTCTTCTTTTTATTGGCTCCTTTGATAATGTTCTTAGAAAAAGAATTTGAAAAATAGTTGAACATAGTATATTACTCATTATGTTTTCATAAATTCATAACCACTCTGAAATTTTTAGAACACTGGTTACAAACAGAACCATTTAAGACTAAGTCTTCAGCCCTAGCTGGTTTGGCTCAGTGGATAGCAATGATGGCGAACTTATGAAACGCCTGTCAGAGGTGACATGCGAACTCATTTTTTTTGGTTGATTTTTCTTTGTTAAATGGCATTTAAATATATAAAATAAATATCAAAAATATAAGTCTTTGTTTTACTATGGTTGCAAATATCAAAAAATTTCTATATGTGACATGGCACCAAAGTTAGGGTTTTTCAAAATGCTGACACGCTGAGCTCAAAAGGTTTGCCATCACTGGGATAGAGTGTTGGCCTGTAGATGAAAGGGTCCCAGGTTCGATTCCAGCCAAGGACAATGTACCTTGGTTGCAGGCATATCCCCAGTATAGGGTGTGCAGGAGGCAGCTGATCGATGTTTCTCTTTCATCGATGTTTCTAACCCTCTATACCTCTCCTTTCCTCTCTTTAAAAAATCAATAAAATATATTTAAAAAGATATTTCTTCTAATTAATTCCGTTTCAATGTGCACAAATATATGCA